CCAGAATAGAAAAACAGGTACACACACACACACACACACACACACGTATTCATTCATATTTCTGAGTGTTAAATCCTGGCTCTCATGAGTCTCATGTTCTTCTGATGTCCTTCACTTCGTCCTGCAGGGTTCTTTCAGCAGGCCAGTGCTGGCGGATCTTGCAGTCTGCTGAAGACGATTTCTTGAAAATCATTGCTCAAGTTATGATAGATGATACTGGAGAAATGTTGAGAGAACAGGAGCTGCTGGTGCTGGTTTCCTGGAGGCCCTAGTGATGCTGTGGTTCCTCCAACAGCCAGACGTGGTGAAGAATATGACCATGAGTGACATGGCCTCCTGCACATAGACTTATATAAATCCAATGACCGGAAATCTCAAAATATGATTTTAAATACACAAGTTCAAAACAAATGACAAATGCATATCATGAATGTCCAGAAATTTCCTACAGGTGACCTAAAATGATTCATGTACTGTATATATTGACAATAAATAATGAAACGACTCACATTAGAAATATAAAACCAAGTCAGACTCTTCATGTATTTTTGAGAGAGTTGTGTGTATTTTGACACTGTAGCCAATGACGTCAGTGACCCACGTGACAATAGATGAGGTTGTGACATGGTCAGTTAAATCTGCTCACTTTTAGTGTCTGATTGAGAGTCATTTTTGCTTATTATTGTTTGAATTGTTTGCAGGTTTCTGATTGGCTGCGGCGGACATACACTGAGGGAAATGGTGAACGAACCATGGTGGAAGTAAACCAATGCGATGCCTTCTTTGTCCTGTCAGAGGAGGAAGCGGTAAGATTAATAATAAATGATATTACAATGAGCTGCTTGGATCTGTCAGAACCTCACATCATTCTCTTCTGTCCATCATGCAGTGGTTTGAGGTTTACTACGAGTATCTGCGCTCAGCGATGATCAAGAGGAGGCACAGGAGATGCAGTTCAGATGAAGCTGAGAGATTCTTCATATCTTCTTCAGAGAATCCGGTTGACAAGCCCTCTGAAGATCTAAAGAAGCTGCATGACGAGTGAGTGCACTCAAAATAAACCTTTAGTGTTTTTTCCCCCCATTTTATTTATTTGCAAAACCGTGTTTCATTCTGTTTTGCAGGTACGGTCTCCCAAGCATCACCAGCAACATGGCCAGATCTATTGAACTACACACTGCCAGGCAGAACAGTGATTTGTCAGATGAGGAGAAACTTCACCTACTCGACAGGCATTGAGGAGAAACCTCAGTCCTGCTGCTGCTTCTACTGTATGTTATCCACCCTGTTCTCAATCATTCAAGTATCCTCACTGAGATGTGCACTTTCATCTCTTTAGTCCAGCTGAAGAGCCTGAGCCCATATGGATGAATGCAAATGCAGCATTTTACCTGCTGAAGATGTCACATCCAGTAACGGTGCCTGCAGCGCCTCCAGATAAATCTGCTCGAATGCACATCTCGAGGAAATACGAGAGCCACTGCCTCCCACTTTGGTGCGCCACTCAAAAGAAACTCCATCAGCGTCTTGTACTTGGTTTTCGTTCATTCATAAATACAAAACTCATATTCCATATCTGGGTATTACATCAGCTCTGGCATTTTTATGTCCCAGGGGTTGAGTTTTATTAAAGCAATCATACTTCATTTCAATTTGTTCATTTATTATTGTGTGAAAAAAGAAGATCTTCAAAAAGAATTCTGTCCAAAGTTCAGCCATGTGTTTCCTCTTGGCCCTACTTCTACATCTTTGGGCCGCCACTCTCAAATGTTCAGACTCAAATTCACACACACACACACTAATTTCAAACACTTGCTGCAAAATATAACTGCAAGCGGCAGTTAAGGACTTTTGAGGGGACAAATGTAGTTCCTAGTCCTCATAGTTAAGTTATTAGCATAAACATAAGTGCAATTTTGGACAGTTGGTGGCGCTAGAGTTAGTCTCCAAATTTGGAGGGAAGTTATGAAACTAGCACCAAAGGTGCTAAAAAGTCCTGATTTTTCATAAAGGTGTGCTTCAATACTTTTTCCAAAAAATTTAAAAATTAAAAATTACAATACTGCATGGCAAAACATTTACCCATCATTTTTTCTCAAAATTTGTATACTTAAAAAAAAAAAAAGTATGGTGTACCACAAGGCTCCTTATTAGGTCACCTACTTATGTATATGAGACATTGTTGAAAAGTGTGAAAATGATTCCTCATGCTCCCTGAACCACACTTCCACATTTTGAGCCTGATGAATCTCAGCATCGTCGTCCTGAAATATGCAACATATTTTTTGCCAGAGAGTTGAGAATTTCTTCATAAAGACAAACATTAAAGACTAGACACAGTGAGAAAAATGCTTCAACAAGACTTACACACTGTCCACTGTTGGAAGTCACGTGCACAGCTAATATCATCTTGTTTCTGCAGATACCTTTGGTCCACGTCAGCCATCTGAGAGCAGAGTGCACAGCCGGATGGAGAAGCAGGGATGGATGGAGAACGTGCCAGATGCTGCTGAAGTTATGAAGGACTGGAAGCCTCCACGAAGCATCCAGGCACCGACAGATGCATCGATCCGTCGGATGGGCCGCAGTCAGTGCTGGAAAGGCCTGCAGCTGATGGACAGAGAAGGCAAGGCTCTCGGTGTGGTCACCAGCAGGCCGTTTGCTTGCGGAGAGCTGATCTGTGACTTCCACGGCCGGCTGATCTCCAGGGAGCAGTGACTGCAGATCCACCAGAACACTGAAGCTGGACATCTGTTTTTCTTCACCAGCAAGAATGGACAGGGCATGTGTTTGGATGCTCACGAGGAGCGCTGCCACTGCCATCCAAACCGAACACTCAGCCAAACGCACCAATCTCAGTCCTAGACTGCACTTTGTGGAGGATGACCCGGTCATACTTTTCATGGCCACACGGGACATTCAGACGGGCGAAGAGATCCGCTACGACTACGGAGACCACAGAAGGTCCTACGCTGGGGACGGTCTGGATCTGACGCCAGCCTAAAGGAAGATGGACATTATCTGGATTATGTGTAGGCATATCTTTATCTGGATGGGACTTAACTGTTTTCCTGTTTTTACCCATATGTCTTTATGGGTAAATATATCTTTTACCCTATATATTTTGTGTTCTCATAATTTCATGCTTTCTAAACTTTCTTTAGTGTTTCCTGAAATTAGGATTGACAACATTTTAAATTGTAATAAAGTATGAAACTTATGCTCTCTCTCACACACACACACACACACACTCACATACACAATAAAGCTTCAGCAGAGGACTTTCCCCTGAGGATTATTAAATGACTGAAACAGAACTATTAAACATTATTACTGTACAGTTAAACGACTGTGCTAACAGTTCATAAGATCTGAATGACACACGAGTGGAGGTGTGAGGAGCTTCGGTCAGCTTATGTCCAGCTTATGATCAAACACACAAGCGTCTCCATTCATAAGAACAGTCCTGAATCCTGATCCATCATTCACTACAGCAGACATAAGAACCTACAGATCATCACAAAACCCTCTCCATCATAACGCCAAAACACCAGATCAGAAACACTGCACTGTGATATTACAGACATTATGAATAAGCAGTCACAGCTACTACTGTCATTGTCTTTCTCTGCTGTCTGTCACAGGTCCAGTAAGGCGGTGCAATATTCAATAAAGTATTACTTCATTTAACAGTGTTTTACATCAGATAATGCTAGTAAACAGCAACATCCTTTGACCTCTTGAAAATGATGAGTAATGAAAGCAGAGGATGATGTCTGAGGCTTGAGTCTTCCTTCAGACGCCATGAAACCAGCTCAAATCATCACTTCAGTCAGACCGATGAACACACGCTCCAACCAAACACTCGCCTCACTCCCCCTCAGATCTAATACATGTATGATGTTATTCTTTCAATGAACACAGGAGAAGTTTTAGAGCAGCTCAGTTCACCCTTTCTGTTCATTCACATGTTCCTCATCATTCTGAGTCAATAGGACATCAACATTTCTCCCTTTGTGTTCATCAGAAAAAATAGCAGCATACGGGCGTTTACTCACAACACTGAGGAAATGATGACAGATTTTTCATTTTTGTGTGAGCTACTGCTACATTCAGCTAAATTATATTAGAAATATGAATAATATTAATATTAATCTCATTCCAGAGCAATGCTCCAAAGGCATTCAAAAGGGAAAAACTGTGCAAAATGGTCTGAAACCAGCATGTCTTCTGTGCGCTCATCTGGGCACGTGCAGGAGGCGGGAGGTGTGTCCTGAGAAAGCGTCCCAGTTTCTCCAGAGCACGGCAAAGAGGAGGAAGACCAGCAGCGAGGAGACGGAGCGGCTGCGTGTCTTCATCAGCGGGACCACACAGTTGGCGATGGTGGAGACGAAGACCAGCAGCACGGCCATCAGAGCCAGCAGCACGTTGATGAGTTTGCCCATGAGTGTGCGAGCCGTGGCGTTCTCCAGGCCCTCCAGCTGAACCACCTGCTGCTGCTGCTGCTGCAGCTCCATCTTAGAGACGCGCGTCTGACACGCTTCCAGAGCCTCCTGACACACACACACACACACACACACACACACACACACACACACCGCTGGTCAGTCTCACACAACACGGATCGCACGACTCCTGCAGTGCATTCATGTGCGCAAAACCTCATGATTTCATTCACTATCAGTGCCAAATGACAAATAAAATCACAATATCTCAGCAACATGATGACAAATTCCTTGTAAAAGTCATAATAAAATAGTCTAATATTACTGTAATGTTGCTCTAATATGGCATTTTGTTTACCTTCAACTCTGTCATTGTGTGTGACGATAATGACATGTATTAATTTTTAGAGAAAAACTGAATAATCTTTGGACTTGCTGACAAAAGTTAAGTAATAGTTCATCCAAAAATTAAAACGTGCTGAAATGTGGCCATCCAAGATGTAGATGAGTTTGTTTCTTCATCAGATTTGTAGAAATGTAGCATTGCATCAGTGTCTCAGCAATGGGTGCTCTGCAGTGAATGGGTGCCGTCAGAATGAGAGACCAAACAGCTGATAAAAACATCACAATAATCCACAAGTAATCCACAGCACTCCAGTCCATCAGTTAACATCTGGAGAAGACAAAAGCTGAAACACATCCAGCATTAAGATGCTTTTAACTAAAATATGAGTCCATAATCCATGATAACTCTTCCTCCAGTGAAAAAGTGTTCTGGTCTGAATCAGGAGAGAAATCTGCACAGATCAAGCAGCGTTTAAACAGCTCTAAACAAATATGTGGCTGGATTTTGATGTGAGAGACAGCAGGAGATGCACTTTTTCACTGAAGGAAGTGTTATTATGGATTATGGACTCGTATTTTAGCTAAAAGCGTCTTAAAGTGCCCCTTAAAGTGTATTATGGGTAATGAAAGGTTCATGTTTTGGTTTTGGGAGTCCCCAATAACAGGTTGACATTCATGCAAGGTCAAGAAACACATTCACTGTTTTATAATATGCATTTATTTTTACCTTATTTGCTCAACGACTCCTAAACGAATCATTTAACGATTCATTTTTCCAAACCCCTCCTTTGCGTGATGCTAATCTGTGGTGATTGGTCCGATTGGTCTCATTTTCATTTCATCATGCCTGACTGTAATGCCTGATAAAGCAGCGTTTGTGAGCGCAGTGCTGCTTTGTGTACCGCGTTACTGGGGAAACCACTATTTGTACCACTCCAAAAGCGGCACCTATTGGCAAAGAATGAATTTGCATTTTTATTCAGACCAATGGGAAAAGACCAACAAGTGGGCGGAAAATATGCTAATGTTTCATGTTGACGTCAAGATGAAACGGCTTGAGATTCGTTTTAAAAACGACTTGTTTCAATGATTCAGAGTCAACTCTTTCTTTTGAGAGACAATAACTTTATACACAGTGCACTTTCAGATTTAAAACTTTACAGGATGTTTTCATTCACTTAGAGCTGTGTTACACACTGCATGAAAGGTCATTTTCAAAAATCCATAATAGGGGCACTTTAATGCTGGATTAGTTTCAGTTTTTGTCTTCTCCAGATGTTAACTGATGGACTGGAGTGCTGTGGATTATTTGTGGATTATTGTGATGTTTTTATCAGCTGTTTGGACTCTCATTCTGACGGCACCCATTCACTGCAGAGCATCCATTGCTGAGACACTGATGCAATGCTACATTTCTACAAATCTGATCAAGCCATGCATAACTATTATCCTGACCTCTAAGGCTGTCACTGCAGGACATATAGTAAAACACACAAACACAGACACAGACACAGACACGCGCACACGCACACGCACACACACACACAGACACACACACACACACAGACACACACAGACACACAGACACACACAGACACACACAGACACACAGACACACACAGACACACACAGACACACAGACACACACAGACACACACAGACACACAGACACACACAGACACACACAGACACACAGACACACACAGACACACACAGACACACAGACACACACAGACACACACAGACACACAGACACACACAGACACACACAGACACACAGACACACACAGACACACACAGACACACAGACACACACAGACACACACAGACACACAGACACACACAGACACACACAGACACACAGACACACACAGACACACACAGACACACAGACACACACAGACACACACAGACACACAGACACACACAGACACACACAGACACACAGACACACACAGACACACACAGACACACAGACACACACAGACACACACAGACACACAGACACACACAGACACACACAGACACACAGACACACACAGACACACACAGACACACAGACACACACAGACACACACAGACACACAGACACACACAGACACACACAGACACACAGACACACACAGACACACACAGACACACAGACACACACAGACACACACACACACACACTCACACTCACACTCACACTCTCACACACACACACACACACACACCTGCAGGTCTCGGGCCCTCTCGTTGGACTGGTACGCGATCTTCTCCTCCATGCTGGCCAGCTCTTGTTTCAGGTTCAGGATCTCGTTCTGGTGGAGCTCCGTCAGATCGTTCACTTGTTCCTCTAAGCGCTCACACCTACAGAAACACAACGCCACAAACACGGTAACTTCCTGTACATGAGGCCGCTAATGAGTGTTTATGTGAGTGAACCAGACCTTGTGCATGTTTTTGGTCTTTACTCATAAACACTTACTCATCTCAAAAGTGTGATGGTGTGTCCAACAGTTCAGGGACGACACCACAAACTGTGGACTAATGGATTCTACTGCAAAACTAAAATTATCCATTAGCTTGACAGCATGTTGATTTTTCAGCTATATTTTTGTGCTTCTGTTATTACAAGCCAACAGAAAAATGCTTGACCACAAGCTGGACATTTAGGGCAGAAATATGTTTGTCTATTCATCTCTCTCTCTGTGTGAACTCACATTCTCCCTCTCCTTCATTTCCCTTCTCGAACTTTTACCATCTAAGAGGAAAAAGCCAAACCTTAGTCTATTTCAGGCCCACAAATATGCTGGGTCACAATCCAAAAATCTGTTTCTGATACAGATGTGGTGAGCAGGGAAAACATTAGATGAATAACTAACATGGACAGTGCATGAGTTATTCAAGTACAAGTCAAACCTATTTGTGTAGCGCTGTTCACTATACATATTGTTTCAAAGTAGCTTTACAGAAAACCAGGTTGTTGATATATTAAAAAAATAAATAAATAAAATATGATGAAATATCAAAATAATAATATTTTCATGCCTTATAGTCACATTTTCTAGATAAGAGCTGTATAAGCAATCACACAGACCACATTTGCTATATAACATAAATCACTTAATTCCTTATCTGGTGAAATGGAGAATTATAAAAGATGATGACAATTTGGTGAACTGATGAGCCTAATTTCTATTTGGTGGTGTGTATCACTGACACAGTTAAATGGTGCATATAAATGACAGGATATTTCGTATTTTGCATCTCTCGCCCCAAGCGGTTTAACTGAGGACTGAAAGTAGTCATGGCATAACACTTATGATGTGCGAGGCACAGTGTGTCAGGTCTATATTTAGTCCCCTAGTGTTCAGGCCAAAGGCAGCTGTGGCAAGGAACGAGAAAACTCCATTTGATTTTGGATAATGGAGAAAAAAACTTTAGGAGAAACCAGGCAACAGCATCAGTTCTCTGAATGTACAGTCCAAATGTAACGTCAGTAATTAAGTAATTAAACTACCACGGTAAAAGTGCACAGAAAGCTGCCTGTCAGACAGCCAGCACTGAACTGAGCTCTCTTTCATGGCTTATTGTGCTTTAAATAACTCTTTTTTTATAAATCAAGTAGTGCTGGGCGGTATGACCAAAAAGTTATATCACGGTATTTTTCAAAATGATACCGGTTTCACGGTACAAGACGGTATTTTTTTTTCATGCATGACCGGGTGTTAACCATATTTTCTACTGATTGAGAGGAAATACTGCAGTATATAGACTTCGAATGCCCTATTTTACTGTCATGATGAGTGAATATTGTCAAAAAATACCACACTAAATAGTGACTAAACACGACCCCTTTTAATACATGTTAACCAGGAGTCACTCTCATTCATAATCGCGCTGTTTTGTACTCATTTATTGACGAGTCGGCTGCACTGCTTCTCTGCCGCTCACTGCACAGAATAGACGCCGAGAGAGGCGACACTTCTCCGGGAAAGTCAGACCTCGCGTTCGCGGGACAGCACTGGAGAAATCCTCCAACTGAACCATAGCTAAGGTTTATCCAAAAAAGTCGCTAGGTTTGTCAGTATGAATATTCTATGGAAAAAAGCCGCTAAAAGGGTCTGAAAGTTGCTACCTTTCAAACAGTGTTGCGTTCCGAACGTTGTTTAAGCGACATACTTATATGTATTGCGGTATTTTAAAAATTCATATCGTAACAAAAATAAACACCGGTATTCGGTATGAACTGGTATACCGCCCAGCACTGAAATAAAGCAAATCACACTCTTTATTTTCTCATTCATCCATATTTCTCTAGCAATCTAAAGTGTTAATGATTTCAAGCAGATATACATTATATAGCAAAAGCTCTAATAAAATCAATGACACTTTAGTCCAGGGGTCACCAACTGATGGACTCCAGTCCCAATCTGGACCGTGAAGCCTTTTGACATCATGAAATAAATACATAAATGCCAAACGCTGTTTTCTAATAAAATCTAATGTATATCAAGCACATCTAGGTCAGCTCAGCAGAGCCGTTTGGGTCCTACGGTGCCATTAAAAGTCTTAAATGGTACAAGAAAGTCTTAATTATGATTTCAGGAGGTCTTGAATTTGGGGAGGATAGACGAGAATTGTGATACGGCTGAATGTGACGATTAAACTTCAAAAGGCTGTGATTTCATTGAATAAACATGAGCTCTGCTGTTACCGGGGAAACCACTGTATTTCTGCTGTTCTGACAGCGCCTCCTGCTGGCAGAGAATGAGTGCATTTTCAACAAGTTTTTGTTCAGACCAATGTGAAAATCAACCCATGTTTTTACGCAGCAAACACGCAGGGCTGTAAATGTGAACTGGTGGATCCACAAGAAGATAATGCATTATAATAATCTAAACAATTAAGACAGTAAAACATATATTTATGTTATTTAATTAATATAATAATATTTGATAATCATTGTTTAAATTAATAATTTAAACTTTTGACTCCATTTTCTTTAAAAAATGGTTTAAAGGCTGAAATGTAAAGTTTATATAAAACTTTTTGTTTTTGTGAAAACCTGTGTCTGAACTGTAAATCATGCTTTTTACAGTCATTTTAATTTTATTTGTTCAGGTCTTAAAAAGGGTCTTAAAGTCTTAAATTTGAGCTTAAATGTCCTGCAGATACCCTGGTCTGGCAAAAACCATCAGTTCATGTTTTTAGGAATGTAATTGTCCAGACCTCGTCTGGTGAGGAGGGTTCATTACTGGATCTCAAGCAGTTTTAGTTGAAGACCCCTGCTTTAGACCATTGCCACAATATATATTATCATGTTGGCCAGCCCAATTCAGTTTGAATACATTTGGCAGTTTGATTATAAGGACATTACAGTTGATTTTGTGGTGCTGTGCTGTGCTACTGAATGTCCAGAATGATCTGGGCCCTGAAGCAAAACCAGATGAGAAGCTCTGCTATAGACTCTATAGTGTTCGTACATGACTGTGATCGTGCTGGCAGCACATCTCATGTGTGTGTGTGTGTGTGTGTGTGTGTTCCTGCAGCTCCTGCAGCAACATGTCCAGGCTGCCGCTGTGGCCCCGTTCTAGTGTGTTTCCTCTGGAGCTGGGCGGGCCCCCGGGGGCCCCCGTCATGCTGATGGCTCCCACTGATCCCGAGGTTGCGCTCGAACAGTCCTCATCGCTGCCGAACTTGGGGCTGGACTGCAGGTGTCCGCCAGCGGATCCCAGAGAGCGTCCAGCAGTGGCCACACCATCCTCGGCATCCTCCGGCCCGTCCTTCAGCACGCTGATGTTATCAGCACTGCCGAAGCGGTGGCGGATCAGTGAGGCGATCTCACGAGGTTTGGAGGCCACGGCCCCGGCGGCTGAGTGCGTGACGTGGGAGAAACTGGACAGTCCGCCCTTGACGCTGTCCACCACCCCCTCGCTGAGGCCCGTGATGACCCTGGCGCCCACATCTCGCAGGCCCTGCTGCATGTCCCGCAGCATGTCTTTGGGCTGCCGCTGCACGCCGCTGTGCTCCACCTCACGCAGACGCCGGTGGTAATGCTCCAGCTTACGCTGCAACTGGGCAATGCTTGCCGCAGACTTCTGGTTCTTCTTCTCAAACACCTGAAGATGGAGACAATGTGGGGGGGGGGTGTGGAAGAGCAAGGGAGAGAGGAAATCAAAACATGAACGAGGAAGCAGATTAAGAGATGAAGGGATAGTGAGGGACTTTATGAGGCATTTCTAGCCTGTGTCTAACTGCATCAAGAATTAGCCAACTCTCGCTGAAAACAGATGAGCTCCAGTCACTGTAGTTCAGCTGTCAGTCTGAACACTCCTTAAGAGTAAAGCCCAAACTGTACTTTGGTTTTTATGCGTACAGTGTGCATGACATGAATTTAGAAATCAGTACAGTCAGTGCGCAGCCTGATTTTTCTAAGCACACATACACCTGCTTTGATTTTTTTTTTGTACTAATTAGTTTGGCCACAAGGTGGCAATATTGGCCCAAGGCTGTTGTTTCACAGTTGCTTAAAGTCACAAAGTAGTGTGGTACATCTGAATCCCTGCATCCCAATGTTCATACTATCCATCCTAAATAGTAAGTGAGATTAGAATTAGTGTGTCCTAAAGCATAGTATGTTGAAAAGAGTGTGCCAGAAGTCCCGGATGGTCTACTATTTCAGGTAGATTTTTGAAGTGTGGATCCCTGCACACTCTGATGGCTAATATTACCCACAATCCATTGCGCTTTGGAGAAGGTTTTGGTTCAGAACTACAAATATGAATAAAAAAGCATTAAAAACTACAAACATGGTGGATGTGCGCAACCGACAAAGGGGTTTGAGTTACTAATAATCAACATTTAACCTGGTAAAAATATTTAGTTAATGTTATTGGTGTTATATTTCATCTGCAACAACAATGTGAACTTTTATAAACATCTGTTTGGTTATTAACATTATTATGTAAAAAATCTGAGCAGAGATCTCCGTATGAAGACCTACGGATGGCAGATCAACGCGCCACTTCTTTTCTCTCTAATACGGTTGGAAGTTAAATGAAATGCAATGTAGAGAATGTGAACTGTGACAAGATGATTGACAGGCCAGTTTACAGTGACGACCTGTACAGGGTGCGACCGTTAAAGACGCAGCTGTGTGACGTGATAGTTTGTAAAGCTTGCCTACTCTTCTACTACACACTCAGAAGTGTGACCTTTTTCCTCACCAAAAGAGTACATACTTTAAGGGTGTAGTATAAGTAGGCACATTGGGATGCAGCAAATATGACAGATTTACAGAAAAAGATAAATGCAGGGCGGGACTTGGTTGCGTGCATCAGTTGTTGATTGGTTGGTAAGATGTGGGCGTGGCTCTCAGATGAGCCTGAGCTTGTAGGGCTGGAGCTTCAGAGGACTAAATGATTGGAGAAGTCCTGCATATGTCACTTCACTAGATAAACCAACTGGACATTTTGATTAAACATTACCAGATCAACATATTTTTAAAAATAAAACGTGCACAGATTAATTGTTCACAAAAAGGTCTATACCACACATTTGCCAAATACATAGGGTGAATATTAATTTCATGCTGACTTAAATTGTCATGAAAACGATGTCAACATTTTAAATAATAATAATACTGGTACGAATACAAGATTCATGTTCATGCTGAATATCATTTCTAGTTGTCTTCGACATGTTTTGAAGATGCATGCATGCACAGATAAAAAGACAGCAGGCTGGTTCATGTGTAAGATACAATGAAAGCGTGAGATGATACCTGTTTGATGCGGGAGCTCTGCTGTTTGTCGCTGGCATTGCTGGCCAGTTTGAGGTACTCGGCCACATTCTCGTCGCGGGCCGCCTGCTCGATGCGCAGCTGCTCCGTGAGCTTCAGGATCTTCTGCTGCAGCTGTGCGATGGCCTGCCGTGTGCGCTGGGGGTCCAGCCCGGTGTCCTCCGAGCCCAGCAGCGAACCGTCAGCCCTGCACGCCGCCGCCAGACCGCCCTCCAGCCTCTCGATCTGGAGAAACACAGAGAAGAGGGAGGGACACACAAGAGAAAAGGCATGTCACTTCTTGGAAAATAGGTCTTTCCGTGTCTTTCTGCTGACACAATGAAGCAATCGCCCGCTTCTGCAATCGGCATGCATGCAGACGAGGCTATTAAAGGTCAACATCTCCATCAGACACACGCACACGTCTAAGAGACCACTGTGCCTCGTTTTTGTGAAGTACATTTGCTGAAAACCGGTCTTAGTATCTTGAACCCAGTAAATTGAACCTGTTTAAAGGATGTTTCAACACTTTTTACAGGGAAAATCAAGACAAAGATACTCCTATCTCACACTGGAAAAAAGCATCTTTGCAGCAATACACGCATGTGTGGACCTGATAGTTAAACAGTCAGTTCAGACAGAATGAGCTGAATATTGAGGCCAGATCATCATCTAGTCCAGCTCTGTCAGACAGCAGTGTTAAATCTGACCTATATATCAGCAATAATAACTGCATTAAACAAACAAGGGCTTTGTGAAAAGATCGTAACCACTCACGTTTTGAATGACTGTTAAATGATGATTTGATATAAGCATGAGGTAATGTAATATTGTTCATGTTTTGTTATTATACCGATGCAGAGGAACATGTTCGTATAGAGAGTTGGAAGCCTGCACTAAAATGACATTCAGTCAAATAGCTCTGATCTTACTCGAGCACAGCAGAGAGCGAGTCAACCGGACGTGAAGCGGTACATGTTCAAGAGCGCAGGCTGAAATGACACAATGTTGCATGATCTCACCAGCGCGTCCGCGCGACTCCGTCTTTAGAGCGTTATAACGGGTTATAATGTGTGTAATGTAAGCAGAGCCCTCACTCACTCACTCACCTTCCCGCTCCGCGCTCGCAGCAGCTGCTCCCAGTGCATCTCTTCATCGTTCTCTCTCCTGAACTTCACTAGCTGAACTCGAGCTCGAGCTCCTCCCGCGTGCAGCTCTGAACATGACGTCATCCCTAAAAGCACCGCTGATCACCCGCTCGAACCGAACCCTGCAACGACTGCTGACTTCAACCGGATCCGTATGTTGATTTATTCTTAAGGCTCTGTCTGGTTACTGCTGTTGCGATATTGAATAATTGTACATAGATGCATTTATTCAGTGTGAACAACTGGCTCAGTCTTGCCTCTCGCTTGTGTTCTCGGAACGGACTCACTTTTCAAATGAATAAATAATAACAGAGAATGCTTGGAGAATATGGATGCATTAGAAATTCTTAA